TGTCAAATGGTTGCAATAAAATATTGGATCAATTGTTCGTTACAATAAAATATTGTAGTGATATACTAAAATATAATTACCTGATGTGGTTTTATTCGCCTTTATGTTTAATTAAATTGATAAGAAGATTTCTAAATAATCTTCGTTTTATAATTTTTTTTTTACATCCTCTAAATTGATAACAATAAAACTTACATTGGACGATTTAAATCACGTAATGAAGGGGTACAATCAAATAGTGGAGTGTTAAAATCAATAACATTTGCAATTCAAAAATTAATTATCAATAACTAATATATATACCATTATGACAAAAAAATAAACTTATACTAATGAAATAGGTTATAACATCTTTAAAATAAAAAATAAATTGTTTGAAACTTTCTTTACTTCTTGCAAGGAGATTTCTAAGTAATCTTCATTAACAATAATGACTGTTAAATTGAATACTCAAATTAGAGTGCTAAAATCAAGTTGTGAAGGGTTAAAATAAAAGCAACTAAAATTCAAAAAATAATTATCAATTACTAATAAATATACCATTTTTTCAAAACAAAAAAATATATATATAATTGTAAGTACAAATTATCGGCTACAAACCATTTAGTGAAAAATTAAAAACTACATACAAATGAAGTAAAATTTTTTTAACAAATATATATAACAATACTTAAATTCAAGTAGTAAAGGTTAAAATTCTAGTTAAAAAGGGTTAAATCAAATAGTGTAGGGTTATTTTACCAATATTAAGATTATGAAAAAAAAAATATTTACAAAGTAAGAATTACTCTTCAAATGCTCATCAATGTTGCTTTAAATATCCAATACTAATGACAATGCAAGACTTGAGTTAAAGGGCTAAAATGAAGTAGTGAAGGGTAAAAATTAAATACTGAGGTTAAAACAAAATCATTTGGAATACAAAAATAGTTATCAGTTACTAATAAATATATCACTTTGACAAAAAAAAATACATAAATATGCAAATTAAATAAAAGTTTTAAAATTCCTCAAAAAAAAAAGTTCTAAAATAAATTGATATAAAACTTAAATTTTCAAATCTTTGTTTATCCTTATAAGGAGATTTCTAACTACCCTTTGTTATATCTTATTTTTAAAAATTCTATATCTTGGTTAGCATTAATAGCATCGTCTCATTTCTTAGTATTAATATTAGATAAACTATTATTATAAGGCACGATAATTATTAATCACTTGTAATATACTCCCTCCGTTTCAAAATGATCTTCTCACTTTCTATTATTTTTTTGTGTTTCAAAATTATCTTTCCAATTTCTATTTTAATTCCTCACTTATCGTCATTACTTTCCCATATTTTTTTCATTTCAATGGTCCTAATCCAAAAATAAAAAGTTCCAAAGGTACTTTATTCCATAATAATAAGTGGTTGCAATAATGTACTTTATGCCAAAAAGGGATGGTTCCATTGTAATTCAAATGTACTGTACTTTATTTTAAATAATTTCCCTTACCTTTATTCAAACAAAAGTTTGTACATGAGAAAATTATTTTTAAACAGAGGATTTATAATAATATCTCATTATCAATTGTTATTTTTTAAAAAGTGAAATTATACATGCCGCTTAGTATTAATATTAGATGCTTGTTGATTATAAGATACTACAATTATTAATCTTGTAATATAAAAATACTAAATCTCGATCAATTATTTTACAAAAAAAGATATTATGCTAAACAAATATTTACAAAGTAAGGAGTAACTCTTGAAATACTCAATTTTTGCTTCAACTACACAGTACAATACAAATGACAAAACTTAAATTAGGGTTTCAATAAAATAGTGAAGGGTTAAAATCAAATAGTATGGGGTTAAGATAAATAACATGTGAAATACAAAAAATAGTTATTGGTTATTAATAAATATAGCGTTATGTGAAACAAATTAAAAGTTTCAAATTACATATTTATAATATACTTTTTTATTTTTTTTTACTTTGTAAGAAGATCTATAACTAATCTTCGTTTTAAAATCCTTTTTCTCATCGTTTAATAAGAAGATTAGTAACTATATTCAATAATAAATCATTCATTCATTATTGTTTGCAATACTAATATGATCTTATTCCTTAATATTAGATAGTCGATTACTCCAAGACACAAAAATTATTAAACTTGTAGTGTACACACATACTAACTCTGGATCAATTGTTATTTTAAAAAATGAAATGATGCTCCTTTACTACTAAATCTCGATCAGTTGTTTTACGAAAATGTAAGAATACGCTCCTTAATATTAATACTAGATAATAATTGATTATTAAAAGGCATAACAATTATAATATTACACTCGATCAATTGTTTTACCAAAAAGTGAGATTATGCAAAAAAAAAATAACCATTTACAAATTAAGTTATAATTATTGAAATACTTAATGTTTGCTTGAAACACCTATACTAATGATAGTACTTGAGTTGAGCTAAAATAAAATAATGAAGGATTAAATTAAAATGGTGGAGGGTTAAAATAAAATAAGTTTAGAATACAAATAATAAGTTATCGGTTACTAATAAATATATCATTTTGTCAATGAAGAATTTAAATATGCAAAATAAGTAAAACTTTTAAAACAATTTAATAATAAAACTTACAATTTTCAAAACTTTGTTTACTTATTGTAAGGAAATTTTCAAAACTTAAGATTTAAAAATGCAAAATAAGTAAAAGTTTTAAAACATATCAATAACCAAAATTACGGGATATTCACCATGTTAACATATTGATACTTTATATTTGTATAGTATACACGGCCATTATTTATAAACTATAATATAAGTTTTGAATATAATTTAGATAATTTTTGTTACTGTAATATAGTTCTTGAATACTACTTAAATGACTGTTGTACTAAATAAATTACAAACTTACAATCGTTACAACCCATTTATTATTTTTAAGACTTAGCCCCTTTTTTTTCCCTTTCTTTCAATCACAATTATTTTAATTATCATTTAATTGACTCCAAACGTTTCATGGATTGGAAAGCTTGATGTTTGGTTAAAGTGAATATTAATTTCTTATTAATCTGTTACCAAGATAATTCAAGGAGTTTAATGTGTTGCCATTTTGAATAATCTAGTGTCCAGCTTATGTTACTGATCAATAATCTAACTTAAAGAAATTTTATACTTTGATGTTAAAATTTGGGAAAGCTTGAGAACATTAGAAATAACGATATTTCCATTCACATAATACAATACAATTCAATTCAATTAATTGGATGAAAAAATACAACAAAATTTGTCTTTAAGCCAATTTAATAATCTGAAAAACAATAAAATGAAGCTAATATATGAATAATCTGAAGAAAAAAAATTATATTCTTTTTTTTTCCAGTTTTGATTATAGGATTCATACAAATCAAAAAAAATTATCACAGAATAGATCTGAAACAACAAGGGTAATGGACAAATAATTTAAAAAAAAAAAAAAGAATTGTACAACGAAACATTGTTCATTCATATCAATTTCTAGGGAAAAAAAACCATTTTTTTAAGCAAAAGATGAAGAACTAATTTTTACAGAAAATATAGATGAACATGAAGAACATTTAAAGAGAGAAAAAATTGGACCACAAAAATTTCAGCCAAAAAAATGAGAGGTGAATTTTTCGATAATTAGATAGATAAACAAAGTTTGATTCGTGAAACATTATGTAAAAAAACAATTTATAAAAAAAATCTGAAGAAATAAAAATTAATTCAATAACATGAACATGAAAAACATTAGAAGGGAGATAGGAGAGAAAAAAAGAAAAAAAAATAAGACCATAAAAAATTTCATCCAAAAAAAATTAGAAGAGAATTATTCATTAGTTAGACACATAAACAAAGTTTCATTTATAAAAAACATAATATTAAAAATTAAATTATAGAAAAATCTGAAGAAAAAAAATAAAATAAAATAAATTCATGAACATGAAGAACATTAGAAGAGAAAGAGAAAAACCAACAAAAAAAAATCAGCAAAAAAAAATGAGAGGAGAAAGAATGGGGTGGTTGGGAATTTGGGTTAATTAATTGTGCCTTGAAAATAAAAATCAAATTTGAAATTAAGTTTGAAATTTTATTTGAAATTTGAGTGAAATGTTTTAAAATAGATTTTTTTGGGCCCCAAAGCAAACACCTATTACAAACTGCCACATCATTGGTTTATACCTGACCCACATAAACCAAGTTTATGGGTAGCCTTTGCCATCTATAAGGGATGGAGGGGTAGTAATGAAAATCCAAGTTAAACATGCGAAATACTAATATTTTTGGGAACAGTCAGTGAGATTGCTGCCTCCATGTATCTACATCCAGATGAACTCCTTTCTCGTGAAAGTGGTGTACTACTGCACGCATATAACTTAGGACATCCTTTGTCCCACAGAATACTTCTTTTTCTTGCATTAACTTGTACTTTTACCACCAGCTTCACCTCTACATTTAGACTGGTCATATTTTGGAGTCCATGTTCTAATTACATTACCGTGTGTTGAAAAATTGTGATGTAATAAGGAAGTGACTTATAAAATATAAAAATAAAATAAAAATAAAAAGTAAAAGATAAGTGCAACCCTAGCCTTAAAAATTGCATACATCATTCTATGATAAGGAAACATAAAAATAATTAAAGATTTTCTGTCACCATTTTACACTTTCCACAATTCTCAAAATTTTCAACTCTACACACCAAGCAATCGGTAAATGCTACCTTAGTCAGGCAGACACATCTCACAAGACTGTCAAGCTGACTACACAACTCAACAAAGGGAAAACGTAAGGAAATCCCCTAATCCTAAACACATGTAAATGAGTTGCTAGTTGTAACCTTAGTCGCAAGGTGAGTTCCTCGCCTTCTACACACCAAGCTTGATTAGCTACATTGATCTTATGATCTATTATAAGAATGTATAATGCTCAGTATTGCGATATTTGAATGCTAACATTAATTAATCAATGCTTTCTGAATGATATGAGAAGCAACATATTTAAGCAACAGCAACAGTCAAGTTTCACTTCACACTTAACACTTAACTCATTGATAGTCCTTAAAGGGCTCAAACAAAGCAATTACACTAACATACCCCTGATTTAAAATACATCTGATTGCACTAAACAATATGGAAATTTAATATAGCCAGAAGATTAGGGGTTCCCAAATGTAGTCTCAGTCAAAGTGTAGATTTAGTCCATTTTACAAATAACCCACCAACACTAATACAACTACTATCAATTATCCTGACTCGCTTGACATCCCATTTTCTGCATCTGTTTTTTTACGCCCTATTGTCTCTTCAACTTCCCCAAACTGGAAGTCGGGCATCATTGCTTCCTCTCATAATATATAAGATTAAAATCCCCTTCCACACTAAATTACTAATAGGGTCGGTATCTTCTAGTCCTATCATTTCCACTTCCATTACCCCTCCCCTGGGGCCCACCTGATCCATTGGACCGGTCATTCCTACGGGGCCGCACTGGTGCAGCCATCTGCATTCCCGGCTGCTGCCTGCAGGTTATTTAACAGATTAGAGATGAAAATGAGCAACCGATATGCAGTTTTGGATTTTTATAAAATCTTAATAATAATGTCAACTTACAAGACGTAGCCGATTCGGCCATCAGGTAGAACCATAGGAACCATTTGCATGCCAGCTGGCATCGGCCCCCTCCCATATATCATTGGCTGTAATTATGTTCAAATTCACAAGATAAGAGAATGTAATTTTAGTGGAGAAAATGAAGTAAAGTTCTTAACATACCTGTTGGTATCCACCAGCAACACCATATCCAGCCCCCACTGAACCATATGGATTTCCAGCAAAACCATAAGCTTGTGGAGGAAGATAGTTTGAACCAGCAGTAAAGGAAGCTGCTGCTTCAGACTTCTTATCTGTCTGTGGCTTGGCCATAGTAACTTCTAACGCCTGACCTGTAGTAAGCAAAACAATCATATTAGAGTCTGTTAATAAAACAGTAAAAAATTAAAGAAATAATGGTTGTATAAAAAGCAGCACAAGGTAATACAAAATTTTTTGGATCAAAGTTCTATCAAAGGCATCAAAGCGAAAGAGACGTCAAAAATTCAGATATAAACAATAATGAACTGATTAACACAAGGGCTTGTAGTTGTATTTTTCCCATAATAAGAAATGTTAGCAAAGAAAAGCAAAATTTCCTTTGCTGTCTTGATAGTCAAAATGGTGAAGTATGTCAGAGGTAGAGTGTAAAAAATGCCAAGTAGCGATCTTAGGTGTCACTTGGATACAATTTACAAAATATCCACTATGTATCTGAGTCTTCCATCCCTTTCATGATTAATCCCACCCAAATAAAAACTGGCAATAGAAAACTCAAGCATCTATTTCATTTATAATAAATTCAGAAATCAAAAGTCAAGACTAAAACATTACCATCTATCTCATACTTTTCTGTGTCTTTGACAGCTTTTAGAGCACTAGACCTTTCACCAAAATGGATAAACCCAAAACTCCCTTTGCCTTGTCCCCCTTTAGCAGGAGGCAACACAACCTTCGTGACTTCTCCATGGCGCTGAAAAATTTCTTTCAGTTGTTCAGGGGTTGCACTCTCTGGAATATTTTTTACATAGAGTGCCTTGACCTGAAAATTCAAAAACAAAGTCAACCTGAATTCTTAATATTGTATTAGTGGCTCAATAAAGATTTAACTTTCAATCTTATATACCCAAATAAAAAAAAATAAAAAATAAATAAATAAATTAGGAGTTACTACTAACACAAAAACATATAGAAATCTGTCAATGTTTGATTGGGCAATTGCAATAAGCCATTGCCAAAACAAACAAATGAATTGCCCAATCAACAAATGAAGTCGATACTATCCATTAATAGCAGGATATTGGAAACAGGGATTTCTCTGCTTGTCCATAACAAGATTCTCCTACAAACTAGATCTAAAATTGAAGGGGGGAACAATAATGAACATTCATTAATGATTGCGTACTAAACAGTTTATGTTGTTATTTTGCAGTTAATCTCAAGGAAGAACCAACTAGATCAGGTGCATCACAATGTCATCATTAGGCCAGCAAAATGCCATAACGCAACTAATCTCATACAAAGTTGAAGTCTTGTATACTCAGTCTCATATTGAGAACACGTTTTCATCAGAATTATGAGGAGGCAAATCGATTTTAATCTGATTCAATAACTAAACTACATCTCACTGGCATCACTGGATAGTCCCAAAAAATACAACTTGCAAGTTGCAGCATATAGAAGATAGAAAAATTCCATCAAGAACGATACAATCTCTATCAATGTCAGAAGTCAGATCAACTCTTTAACAAGCACAACATAGATACACTTTTCCGAAAGGGTTACTTGAGGCAATCTCTATCAATGTCAGAAGTCACCATTTGATCAGAGTTTCAAGAACCACCTGCTCAACTTTTTATTAAGCACAACATAGATACACTTTTCCGAAAGGGTTACTTGAGTTTCCCAATTAAAACCGTCTTACTAAGAATTCCAAGGCCAATGTATAGTTCCTCTTAGCAACTCTTTCTTAATTTCTTTACTCATCAAAGTCAAAACGAATACATTTATTATGTCTTTTTCAAGCAAAAAGAAAAAAATATTTCTATAGTATATAACCATTATAATGTTAAGGAAAATTTGTCAAACCTTTTAAAAGTCAGATTTTGTGAGATAACAGCCTTTTAAAAATTCTCTAAATTTTGGCAAGATGAAACCTTAACTGCTATTCCAGCCACTGGCAGACATTTCCCGGCATTGACTGGGGGATACATCTCACATGACCTTTTTCCTTTTCCCTCCCTTTTCTTCTCGACTTACTTCCAAATCATCCCACTTCTCTCTTTCTCTCTCCATTTGCGATACTCTTCATCGTTCTTGATTGAATTTGAATATCAAGTGTTTCCCAATATAATTCCCTCTCTATTTATTTGTAATTTTTTGGATTTAATTCTGAATTTTAAAATTAGGGTTTTCCCAAATTCCCTATCTTCACATCTTCACCCCTCTCGAATGGAAGTGAAAAGGACAAGCATAAGAAAATGGGCAGGCACAGATGAATGATGTATTATCTACAATTGTGTTGCCAATGGTGAAAATGAGTAGGTATGGAGATAGTGTGAACTTAAATGGGGTTTGAAAAAAAGTTGGGCACCTTGGTGAAACAAAGGTGTTATAGGAGGTGACTTTAAGGGAAGTACCAGGAAAGGGGGGGGGGGGAGAAGAGGTAAGAAAAAGACGATATATAACTAAAAGAAGCAGTGCAAGATCTGCATGCCCAATCTTCAGAAAACGTCAGTCAATCTTAAGCTGTGCGCCTAACAATACAACACCATGTGATACATACCCTGTACAATGGAAAACACGTAAAAAAATTTGAAATTGAAAACCCTTGGTTCATGCCCACAATATTTAGTCTAAAGTTTGCATGAGCAACATAGGTCTATGGGAACTATAACAGTATAACTTGGCATGCTTATTGAGACTTTAAGGTAGATTTCTGTAGTATACTAGCATCTTACCTTGAAATTTTGTTTCTATTAGAATTTTAAAAATTAAAAAAAAAAAAAAAAAAAAAAAAAAAAAAAAAAAAAAACTAGCTTCAAAAGTCGATGCATTACTACAATAAGCCCAATGAGTATCATATTTGCTTGCAATTTAAATGTAAATGAGCAAACTATATAACAAATTTTAAAGATAATTCCAATTTTGCATAATTTCTTGGAGCATGTATGAGGAACAAGAAAAAGGTCAACTACACATGGGTTTGGCAAAATCCATTCAACTTACATAAAATAATCCAGCTTTGTTTCCAATTTCTTGCTCTCCATTCATTGGGTTCTCAGGATTGGGTCATTAGCTAAAGTTCATGCTTCAAATTAACATAGAAGGCTATTATTAAAGTTGTTGAGGTAGAAATTTAATATTGACTACCTGGGAAGCAGCAGCAGAGTCAGGAGCACTCTTCGGATCAGCCCAGGTGACAGTTAGGGTGTTCCCTTCAAGCTTAAAACTTCCGCTAGACATTTTCTGTCTAGCATAATCAGCACAGGCATTGTTGTAATACTCAATAAAGGCAAAGCCACGGTTACGGCCAGGATTTAAACCATCCTGTCATGGGCAGAGGAAACACTGTTAAGAGAAACAGAAACAGACCATACTACTTTACAATCACATATTCACATAGACTTATAATGTAATATAGTCCACCTGCTTAAGGTCAATTATCTCTGCCCCTGGACCAACTTCATGTATCATTTGTTTGAACTGATCCTCTGACCAACTTTTAGGGATGTTACCAATAAATAACCTGTGCTTTGCATCAGACAATGAACACCTGACCGTTTTTCCCTGCAGTGATGAAGCAACGACATGAAAATTAGCAATCTCATAAGCCAAACTCAAATGAAAGCATGAAAGAAGGGAAAGCAAAGAAGTTCAACCATGAAAAGATATGAAATTACCTTAAATTCTTTGTTCTTCAACTCTTCTATTGCCTTCTGGGCATCTTCCTTTGTTTTGAATGCTACAAAGGCATATCCCTTAAATTCACCAGTATCCTTATTTTTTATTAATTTTACCTGCAAGTCACCCAATAGTATGAATCTATGGAACAAGAGGAAAAAAAAAGTGGGGGCGGGAGACAAGGGTTAAAGTATATGCTTCCTCCGTTTTTTATAGAGGAAAAAAAAAGTGGGGGTCGGAGACAAGGGTTAAAATATATGCTTCCTCCGTTTTTTATACTTGCAACAATTCGACTTTTACGCTATTCATATGTTTCCCTTTGACTAGCTTTGATGATTTATAATTAAGTGGGATCTTGTTAGATTCGACTCGATTTATACTATTTTACTATCATATGTTTATAATTTTACATATTGGTAATTAAAGACATTAACGATTGAAATAATAGATCGGCAAGCATGAAAAGAGAAATGTTATAAAAAAAACATAAGCAGGAATATATATGGAGATATGGTGCTGACCTCAAAAATTTCACCAAAAGGCTCACAAAGATCTCTTAAATCTTCTTCAGTAACATCCTTGGGAAGCCCACCAATAAAAACCTCAGCTCCATAAGGAGGAAGAGAAAGAAGCTCAGCGTGCTTCTCTTTGTCCTCTTCACTGATTGAAGATGGATATTTCTCCTCATCTTCCCCATGTTCATCACCAATGGGACTTTGATCAGGTCCCGATGATTGCTCTTTTCCACTACCATCAGTTCTCAATTCCTCATCCTGCTCCTCAGCCTTATCATCACCAATTCCTTCCTCTGCCTCATCCTCAATGCCATCGACAACATCTTCATCTGTTTCTTCCATGTAATTATCATCATCAAGGTCCACACGCTCATCGATCTCGGAACCCTCAGCCATGACTGGTATATGTAAATCTTTTCTGAGAATAAGCAGATCCTCAATCAACTGAGAACTTTCAGGGAAACCCATGAGGACGCATACAAGCCATCTTTTTTTTAATAAATAATGGAATACAGCGAGAAAGGGGAAGCAAAGATTAATGTAGACAAAAGAGGGTCTTTTTTTTTTTTTTTTGCACTGGATTGATTGTGTTTGATTTTAATGTGTGATTTGGGTTCACCTGATAACCAGGATTGTCAAATTACAAAGCTGGAAAGCCATGTTAGACATTAAATCAAAGGCATCACCCAAGTATTTTTCAGGATTGTTTGTGTTTGATTTTAATGTGACGTCAAGTGGTATCTAAGAACTAGAATATGGCATTTTGAATTGTGTGTGTAGCTACATAGGATTTTGAATGTATTGGATTGAAACATTTCAAAAGAACACTCCCCCTTTCACTGAAATACCAGGATTCAGGAGGTTTCGCCATTAATAGCACCTCCCACATGGATTCTGCGTTATAGTCACCTGCACCTCCATGGTCATATTTACATAACTTCAAATTCAGGATCATATCAGCTCTGCCCATGTACAATGAAAATGAAACCCTGCTATTTTTTAGGATTGCAGGAAACCGAAGAAATGAAACCCTGCTATTGTTTTAGGATTGCAGGAAACCGACGAACTAGACAAGGGATACCTATACCTACTCTATCTTATTAAAACCGCAGCTAATTATATTAACCAAATTATGGTTAACATTGATAAAGATGTTTTCCATCTAATTTTTAGTTTTATGTGTTAAAAAGATGCAAATATATTCCTCAAATGCTTTCAGCTTCTTCCCTCCCCCAATCACCTCCTTCTACCGAAATTAAGGACATCATAGAAATGATTAAAGCCTGATTTTAGCAGGATCAAACTTGATTATCCTTTAATTTTATCATTTTTCTATGTATAAATTCTTCAAAACTATCAAAATATACATGGATAAATTTGATTCAACTATCTCGAAAAAATACATAATTTTAGGGATATTTGATTTGATTCAATTATCTCGAAAAATACATAATTTTAGGGATATTTGATTCAATAATCAACTTAGGCTCATAATTTTCTTTTCTGGTAAAATATCTCTGGTTATGATGTTTCATAATCTTAGAATTTAGAACCGATAGTTGAGATTTTACGAGCCCTAAACTTAATTAAATTAGATTAGATCAAAGATAAACCCTAGATTGTGAAATTGATATGATGATAACAAAATCAAACAACTTACCTCAGAAGCTGCTTCAATGGGGATACAAGTATTAGAAGGCGCCGTGCAATTCAACGGAGGACGTGAACTGCGCTTCAATGGAGAACGTTGAGTTCAATGGATACCTGAGAGAGAGGTAGGGTTGGAGGGCTTGTAGCACTATTAAAAGCCATGACCCGCCACGGTTTTAAATGGGTTAGATCTGTCTAATAAATAAATGGGGCGGATTAAGATGTTCACAAAGTTTAAGAAAATTTATAAGGTAGGGCTCAAAAGAGATTTTTTTTTATTTTATACGGCTACTTCACCAAATGCCACGGATTAATTTCAAAATTCACCAAATGCCACTTAGTTGGCCGTTATTGTGAAATTACCATTTTGCCCTTTAATTGTGTTTCATGGCGCCATAAAGCACACTGACTCTTTGGTTCGACCTATTCAATTTAATGCTCTTCATCAACCTTGTTCTTCCTCAACCTCTCCCCTGTTTTTCGAGGTTTCACCTTCAAACCTTCAAATCTATGAATAAGGAAGAAGCATACTGTAACAGCTGAACGACCTGCGCAACAAGATTCAAGCTTTAGCTGTTGTTGAATATGGGCGAACCAAAAAGCGGTCACAAGTAGTGGAAGAAGTAGAAGGAAATCGCGAGTGCTGAAAATTTTTTTGAGGCCTTGGAGATAGCACGCAATGTAATAATCTCTCTATCGATCTTCATTTTGCGTACTGATTCCGATTTTTTTTGCGAAAATTGAGTTAAGGTTAGGATTTTCTCAAATGATCAGTTTAATGTGCTTATTTGACTTGACCTTTGTGAATTATGGTTTAAAATCATGTTAAAAACCTCATTTGTGGGTATGAATTTGGAAATGTGTGTATTGGTATGTTAGGGTTTGTGTTTTTCACAATATTTGAGTCCTTGAAATGAAATTTTGCGAGTTGATCAGGATATTTGGCTTGGTATGTGTTTGTTGATATGAATGATGTGTGTTGATGTTTAGTAAAGTAATATGTCATTTGTTGTTGATAGGATGAGTATAATGTGGCTTGATGTCCATTACAAAGATCAGGGCTTTAATGTATTGATTGAGGATACTGACAAAACTAGTCTAATGGACTTGTATGAGTTCATGTTTGAGGATTCTGTCAAGCAAAATGTGATCCTCCAAATATTTTAGTTTGTTTGTAATGGACTTGTATGAGTTCATGTTTGAGGATTCTATCAACCAAAATGTGATCCTCCAAATATTTTAGTTTGTCTATACTGCCACCTAGAACTAATAGAAAGTTTGAGTTATGTGGGGATAGTCATATGCTGAAAATATGGGAGTGGAATGAGGGTAGGGAAACAATAGAAGTATTCTTAGAGGATAAGGAAAGTCCTAGTTTGGTGTTTAAGGATGCTGAAGCAAGTTGGCAAAAAAGGGTTAAGGCAATGGTTGAGAAGGCTAGAGTGGATGAGGAAAAGGCCCAGAGGATGGCTAAAGAAGAGGATGCTGAGAGGGAGCTTATGGAACAGCAACGTTTTAAAGTTGTAGTTGAGGTTCCTCTTGTTAATGCTGATGACTCAAATGTTGAGTATGTAAGAGTGTTTCACACTCCAGTAGCTGATGAGGTTTTCCCTAGGGCATCTCAGCATGAGCCTAAACAAAGTACTCAGCCCTTAACTACACCTTGTTCTAGGAAGAAAATGACACCTTGAAAAAGGAAAAGCACACACAAAAAAAAAGGCCAACATAAAAAAAAAGGCAAACTCAAAGATCCCAACCTTCTCCTCAACCACAAACATCCCAACCTTCTCCTCAACCACAAACATCCCAACCTTCTACTGAACCAACACTAGCCTCAGCACCAGTTTCTCCTTAACCACAAACAGCACCAGTGTCATCTCAACCCCAACCACCACCATCTGCAGCTGCAAAAAAGGTAGGTAGATCAAGACTTGAGGGATTTAGGTCAAAAAAGAGTGCTGCAAAAAAGGGATTTAGGGCAAGGTGTTACTTAAAGGAGATCTACTGTTGATTTAAGTGAGGAGGGGTTTGATGAGTCTGGTAGTGATGGTGATAGTGAAGATGATGATTACATACAATCTGGCAATGAAGAAGATGATGATAAGGCGGCAGATATTAGTGACTTCATAGAGGATGAGACAGAAATAGATTGCCTTCATGATGACATTCTTGAAAAGCAATTTCAGGATTACCTTGATGGTAGTTCAACCATGGATAAGACCTATAAGACTGGTAAAATTTGGAGGTCTGAAGAGTTTGGATCCATCATATTAGATCCATGGTTGATATTCGGAGACAGACAATAATTTCTTGATGTGTTCAAAGACTATTGTGTACAGGAAGGATTTGGTGTTTATGTTGAAAAGAGTGACTAAACAAGATTGATAGGAAGGTGTACTATAGAGACATGCAACTGGAGGATTCATGCTTCCACAATGACAGACAAGGTTAGCTGGGCAATCAAGACTTTGATAGGGGAGCATAGAAGTTGTGGTAGGCTGGAGATAAACCCAGTATTAAATTTTAAGTGGCTGTGTAGACATCTGCAATCAGACATTTAAGCCAATACTGACATTCCAATTGAGTCTTTACAGAGACTCTGTATGGAAAGGTTTAGGATTCAAGTCAAGAAAAGGTTGTTGTTCAAGGTTAAGGCAATGTGCAAGGAGATCATTCATGGTGGTTTTGGAGAGGCATACTCACTGTTGCCTAGGTATGTTGAAATGGTGAAAGAGACTAACCCAGGTAGTTATGCTCTTGTGACATGGGGTGAACCTATTGCAAATGAGCCTTCAAGATTCAAGGCTTGTTTTTTTTCTTTTGCTGCCCAAGTTAGGGGATTCTTGAGAGGTTGTAGACCTATTATTGGCATTGATGGAGCCCACCTAAGTGGACATTTCAAGGGAATCTTGTTAACTGCCATTGGGATTGATAGGAACAATGAGATTTTTCTCATTTCCTATGGAGTGGTTGGTTCTGAGAGTATTGACAGCTGGGGTTATTTTCTAAGGACTTTGAAATGCCTTTTTGAGAAGGAAGGGTGCAGGAGAGATGGTTGAACCTTCATCTCTAACAGAATAAAGGTAAGTTACATGGAAACTAGTTTATTACATGTGATTTACTGTTTTGTTTTTTCAAGTCTCAGCCATTAAACTATTTTCTTTGCAGGGTGTTGACACAACAATTTATGAAACATTTCCCAGAGCAACTAGAAGAGTATATTGCCAACACTTGTACATGAAATGCAAGACCAATGGATTCAGTGGTTCAGCCTTTCATAAGCTTTTCTGGATAGCAGCTGATGCATAAAATCAGTATGTATTCAATAAAGCAATGCAGAAGATACATGCGTACAATCCTAATGCTGTTGAATACTTAGAGAGCTGCATTGAGATCTGGTCAAGACATAAGTTTGATCCTGCACTCTGTTGTGATCATAACACAACAAATTTCGTAGAGTCTTTCAACTCATGCACAAAGCCCTACAGATATCTACCTGTTCTAAAACTACTTGAAGGTATTCACTTCCACTCAATAAATGTTGTAACTACTTACATTAACACAAGTGCCCTGTCTTTTTTTTTTTTTAATTTTTTTGCATACTGTTTTGAAGCTATAAGGCAGTGGGGCATGAAGAGGATTGGCTCAAGGTTTGACAAAGCTATAGGCATGGGGGATATGGAGCTGACTGAATATGCAGCCAAGATTCTGCAAACAAGATCAGATGAGTCTATGTTGTGCTATGCAATCCCATGTGGTGGTGATGTGTTTGAGGTGAGAGACCTACATGTGCATTTTCCCATCAAGCTTAACACTGGCACTTGTGGTTGTGGGAAGTGGCAGCATTCAGGAACCCCATGCAAACATACACTAAAGGTGATTTACCACTGAAAGGAATGGTGTCCTTCCAACAAGTGTATTATTCCGGTAAGGGTTCAAACTATTAGAAAGCTAATTCTTCAGTAAGGTCAAGTGATCGGAATGCCTAGGTGGAGGCCTCTTCCGATCAGTAATATTAATATACAATTAATATTATAGCTTAATCTTGACTGAACCCTTCGGGTCGAACCCAATCGAACAACCGATCCGAAGGATTTGATGAGTCGTCAGAGTTTTACGAACAAAGACGTCGGATATCGAGCTTAGAGCATCGAGACCGAGCGTCGCAAGTCGAGTCGAATTTATAATTCGACGAGACGTGAAATCAATCAAGTTACAAGTTCGAGCCTAGCCGTAGCCTCGCATTGGCCTAGCCATGTGAGTGCTAGGCTAGGCAAGGTCCCTCGCAATGCCAGCTGCAAGCCTAGCATGCTAGGCGTGCTAGGGCCATGCGTGCTAGCTGGCCAAGCAAGCATCGCAAGGCTAGGCCTTGCTAGCATGCTAGGAGCTAGTGCATTGCTAGCAACAGCATCACATAGCACCATGCACCAGCCAGCAGCGTGCTAGGCATGCTGGGTTGTGCGTGTGTGCTAGCAGGCAGCAGCACGCTATGCGTGCTAGGCCTGGCATAGCAGCAGCGCCTAGCATTGACGCACCAAGCAACAACCTTGCTAGTAGCGCATAGGCATCAACCCAGCATGCGTGGCTCGCTAGCAGCACGCATGCACTGGCTCGCTGTGCGTGTGTGCTGGCTGGCTGGCCAGGCTGCCCAGCCTTGGTGCTAGGCGCCAGCTGGCAGCCAAGGCAGGCTGCTAGCCAGCCACATGCCTTGGTGGTCCGGTTTTGTTAAGTGGGGACCAATGCTTGGTCATTGCCTTGGGGAGCAAGGTGGGTTGGTCCCCTCCCTCGGTGGTCCTCACCTTCTCCTTCTCCTCCTATTGCCACTTGTAACTTGGTGATTGAATTGCAATTTTATTTTGTTTTGATTAAAATAAAATGGGGAAAATTGCAAATCTCCTACGTGATTGTGAATGGAAATCAAGGTTCATTTCCCTATAAATACCCAAGTTTTGGAATTTGGGAAGAACACTTGAGTGGAACTAAAAAGGGTATCTCCTTAAAAAAGTGAGAAAACCGTAAGTTCGTAAAACTCTAGTTTTTATTGGTCAAGTCCCGACTAACCTTCGGGACTAGGACCGTTCGGGTCGGGTTCGTGGGTACGAGCTTTTGGAGACCTTCGCATTTGCGGGGTTCAAGTTTTGAAGTAAGAGCTCGTGATCGAGCGAAGCATGCGCCAAGGGTATGAATGTATTTTCCTTCTCTCTCATAATTGTTTAATTTGTGATTACATGCTTAGTTGCCTTAATTAGTGGGCGGGTCTTGGGCGGGTTCCTCTTCCGCGTAGAGTCGGACTCTACGAAACCCAATAGTTGTATCGAGCCGCGCTCACTTTAATTATTGTGACTAATAGTTAATTAAGGTGATTTAAATGGTTTTAAATTTCTAGTTGTGCTTTCTAATTGGATTAGAAGCTCGTTTTAATTAGTTTCAATCTCATATTTTTTCTAATTTTGGCTGACGAACCCAGATTTCGACTCAAAAATAGTGATTTTTGGGTGGAATAGATACTCTAAATCGTTTCTAACCCTTTCAAGATTGTCCAGAAGCCAAAATCTACTCGGAAACATGTTTTTCGAGGGGTTTTTCGTTTTTGACGAAAATTTTTAAATCTTTTAACCTTGATTAATTATTGCATGTTGAAGGTAGATTAAATGTATGGTTGCATCCCTAATCTACTGCAATTATAAACCTCATTAAGCATGTTTATGAAGTCATAATTGGTGCTTAATTTAGTGTGTTCATTTTTCACATAAACTTGAATTTTTCACATTGTTGCAAATAAATTGCTTCAAGTGTGAATGTTATGGTGAACTTGTAATTGTTGAAGTCCTTAATATTTCAAATATCCAATCTTTAATTGTTTAATTGGTTGGAACTTTGATTTCTAAATTCCATGTTGAACAAATTTTGGATTTAATCATTTTAAGTTGATTAAAGTCCTTAAAGTTCAAAACTTGTGATTGAATTTTGATTAATCTTGATATTGGAAGATGTAATTTTTTCATTTATACACAAGTTAAAGTTGGAAAATTTTCATTAGATGAATGGGTTTATTTTTCCAACCCCATTATTTTTGTCAAATCTCATTATTAATTTATACTTTGTTAAATTAATTATGAGTGTAGCCCTTCAATTTTTGTAGACCTAAATTGTTTAAAGAATGGTTCATGAATAATTTAGGCTTGTGCACCATTAAAATTGAATTTAATTAAGTTGGACTTGTTTTATTTTCATTTTTGGCCTAAATTGATTCTAAATTAAATTTAGAATTAATTTTATGTCACACGTATAACTAGATTAAAATCCCGAGAAAAGGCACACAAATCGAGGCAAAAACACCCAAGCGCCACCAAAGCTAGCCGGGCAGCTCACGCAGCCCACATGTGGCTGCCGTAGGTGTGCATAAGGGTGCTCCACCTTGAGATGCAGCTGCTGCTGTGTGGCTAGGTCTTGTGTGCGCTGCTGTGTGCTTGGTGCGTGGTGGATGGCTGTTGGCCATGCTTGTGCGTGCTGCTGGGCAGCAAGGTAGCAAGCCCGAGCAAGCCAACCATTCGCCTACCAGCGCTAGCAAGCAGCTAGCATGCATAGCAAGTTGTTGGGCAAGCATGCCAGCACCTAGCACATGCAACCGCAACTCCCAAGCGCTGCTAGGCAGCCATGGTACGCATCGCATGAATTTTGGGTGGGTCGATTTCTTACTTGAATTGGCTATCGGGTTTTGCTAAATTTTTGCCGTTTTAATTTTATTTAATTATTTTAACGAGGCTAGGCCTCGGTTTTTCCAGCTTTTGCAAAATTTTAATTTTGACAAAATTTGGGTTAACCGTCTTAATTAATTGGTTAATTAAGTTGGATGCGGAATTTAGTGGGAGCTTCGTTAATTGCATGAACTAATTGCGTCTTAATCGCATAAAATGTTAAATAACTTTGACTAGGTTTAATTAGGCGCGTTAATTGGATTAACCACCTAAGTTAGTTACTAGTTCGGGCGCGTTATGCATTGTTGCTTGTTTTTCGTTGTAAAATTCATGGGCCATACACATTTAGTGAATGGATGAATGGAATATATGATGGATGAATGGAATATATATATTGTTTCACAGGGTTTCGTGAAAATGGCAACTAGTGGGGCCCGATTAGGATAGTAAATACGGACAGCGATCCGTTATGTATATTTGTAAATCTAAATACGGTCTGCGTACCGTTGTGTATTTTTTTTTTACCTTAATATTTAGATCAATCCTAGTCGTAGTAGCTAGTAATTTTATTTTGGCGGGGATGTCTCAAGACGGTGTTTCTATGAAGACGAGCCAAGATGGTGCATCGAAGACCCTTGAGGATTTGAAGATTTCAAGGGGTCATGCTAGGTCCCAAATGCATCTTATTTCATGTTTTCTATATATAATTGTACTTATATATGTGAATGATATGTTAGATGCATGTTTAGGATTTCAAATGTTGCGATGATTAATTAAGTTCACTTAAATCAACCAACATTGAAACCCTAGGTCCCTAAAATATTGAGCTAAAATATGCCATTCCAAGAACGTATGTGATGGGCTACGCCAAAGCGAGGCATCACTACTTCCCTAAGAACGTAAGGTATACTAGGTGTTTCGGGGTTTTTTAATGTCCTGCGGAAGAGTTACAATTCCAAGACTAACTTCTGGACGCCTGTACCTCCAAAACAACGGAGACTCCGGAGGGTGGGAGTTTCACCTCCGACGATCATATTAGAACGTGTATGAGAAGTAAAGTGCGGAAAGTAAAGAGTCTCTTCTAGATTCTAAGAAAGTTTCTGCAATGTGAAATTGCTCAGTTCGAGGTGTCAGATGTCTGACTTTCTCTAATTGTGAGTTAATGTGAATTAAATGTTTCTGAATGAATGTTCCCCCGAGGGAAACATCTCCCTTTTATAGGGTGTTGAAAAATGTGCCCAATACTAGGTTTTAGTAAACCTAGGGCTGATTGGGCTCTGCCTAGGAATTTGGGCCATAGAAGGCCATTTTCCTGATGGGCTATCTGTTTGCCACGTGTCGTGGCCTAATTGGTCCACTTTGGACCTCTCACGAGGTGACACGTGGCGAACTCTGGTTGGTCCACGTGGATGACACGTGGCAGGACTTGAGATGTCCACGTGGCGGGGAAAGATCCCCTAATCATTTGCCCCTCACAGGGGTGACGTGGCATGCCACGTGGCGCCTGTGACAGGTGTCATGTCATGAGTGGCTAACGGTTTTTACCGGTTTTTTTTTTCACTGTCTCTTGGAATTCACCCCCTATAAATAAGGGGTGTCCAAATCATTTGT